CACTGCCAGGAGTGACCAGGAATAACGGCCACAAGCTGGCAGAGGGTAGATTTAAGCTAGATATCAGGAGGCGCTACTTCACGGTCAGGGCGGCTAGGGTCTGGAACCAACTTCCAGGAGAAGTGGTGCTGGCTCCTACCCTGGGGGTCTTTAAGAGGAGGCTAGATGTACACCTTGCTGGGGTCGTTTGACCCCAGTACTCTTTCCTGCCATGGCAGGGGGTTGGACTAGATGATCTACTCAGGTCCCTTCTGACTCTAGAAACTATGAAACTATGAAATTAATTGTATTCTGCATCTGGAATGGACTTTAAAGCTATTTTCCTTTTAAAGCCTAAAAGATGTGAAGAGAAAAATATACATAAGAAAAAGGTAGAAAATTTTTTGTGGGCTAAAATTGTTTCCTTCCCCAACATACCCAAATTTGTGATGGGAATTCATTCTCTCTCGTGTGTCGTATGTATGTACATGTGCGCACATATGTGTTCCATAGTCACAAGTGGGTAGGGGCTTGCTCCACCCAGGTGTTCCCCACCAGCCCAGGAGCAGACATAGGGAAGGGGAACACAGCTGTTGCCACCACCCCAACCTGATCCCAGCTCTTGCACAACCCAGCTGGAGCAGGACAAGAGCCCCCTTTGCTCCTAGGACAGTGCTGACAGTGAGGACACCAGCAGTGGCAGGCATAGGAAAGGGCAGAGAGGAGCCCGGAAAAGAAGAGAGGGGGAGAATTCTTACATTCTTTGGAACCTAAGTCCCTAACTGCTGCTCCTGTGGCATGGTCTGCCCACCCTCCTGTGCAGGGGAGGGGAGAAGGCTGAACTCCAGGGGTTGCAACCACCACTGCAGCACCGATCACTGCAACTGCACCCCCCTTCATAAAATCTTGGATCTATTTCTGGTAACAAGTTAATTTAAGTACAAGCACTTAGGAAAACCATGTTAGCCCATTTTCTATTTAATACTCTAAATTGGAGGCCTTTTTCATACCATTAGGTATGTGTGAAAACATTAAGAACATAAAGGTGCAAGCAACAACTTTAAAATGAGTTTAAAGAATGGACCTTCATGCTTCTATGTATGATGGTATCAAAGATAATGGACTCAGTATCCTAAATATCACTTCTGTGTATTGGCAAAGGCTACCAAAATGTCAAACCTTTTTTTTATTTTTTAACTGCTTTAATGGATCTTCTAAGGTTCCTTCCTCCATGTATGTTGTACTGCAACTAAGATCACAATTCAGGTTCCCATTTTGGAGAGCATAAGTATGGTTTCCATTGGACAACCTTCACAAGCCTGCAAAAAGGCCCCAGTTTAACTACATCCTTTATACTGCTCATGTATTTTTTCCTGTGGCTCCCAGTGCCTTAGTGTCAGTGATATAGCTGCAGAACATGTATAACTCATTGAAATATATTTTCAGCTCCCTGACCTTCTCTCTGGTGTTTAACAAGTGAGCCCTTTCAGATGTTTTTGTACCACACTGGAAATTGGTTAAGTTCAACACTAGTTGTACGTGGCAGGATCTTTGCTTTGTGTTTCAAAAAAATCAAATGTGAGGATGCCTTCCAACCACTTTTCACATGAAGAGATATTTGGAAACTTTTCAGTTGTGTTTTAATGTAGTAAGTTTATGAAGTTTAAAAATGTGAGAATATGAAAGCAAACTGAAAAAAGCAATGCAGGGTATCAGCATGTAAGAGATATTAGTCAGCCAGATTTGAGGAACATAAAAAATAAAATACTGGTAACTTATCCTCATTTTTCCCTGAAAACAGCAACATGCCTTGTTTGCTTGATGAAAATATACGTGCGAACATTTCGGACCACTTCTCCTTACAAAGCCAAGGACAGTTCAAGTTAACTGCTGATAGAATCTTACCCAGGAATGGATAAGGACTGAAACGGTACTGG